AAAAAAAAAAAAAAAAAGCCAGTCAGGTGTAGTTATTAAAAAGGAAAAGAAGAAGTTTTAACATGACTAATTGTTGTTCCAGAGGGAGAAAACAGAGAAAATAGGGTGGAGGGCAATATTTGAAGAGATTAATGATAAATGAGAACTGCTCATAATTTATGGGGAAAAAGTATTTATTCATTTAACATATATTTTTGATTGTCCACCATACACCTGAGAGTGTTCCAAGAAACAGCAAAGAGCAAAATAAAAGCTAAAGTTAAAAATTGCTGCCATGATGAGCTTATAGTCTAGTGAAGAGAATATAGACAATAAACAAGATAAATAAATAAAATGCACCACATGTTAAATACTGATAAGTGCTAAGGATTAAATTAAGATAGGAGAGGTAGAAGGGTCAGTGATTGCCATCTTAGATAGTGTGATCAGGGGAAACCTCAGAAATTGAGCTGCTGGCAACATGGTCTGAAAGAAGTGAGGAAACACTCAGATAAAGAGATATAAAGTGTTCTAACCTGGAGAAGAACAATTGCAAATCTGTAAGCAAGCCATCAATTTTTAGGAAAATCATAGAAATTGGAGGTGTTTGAGCAGAGTGACATGATTTACTTTTGGATTAACAGAACAACTCCAGCTATTGTGTGGAGACTAGCCTGAAAAGAGACAAAGGAGAGATGCAAAGAAACCATTTATGAGGTTTCCACAGTAATTTACTCAAGAGATAAAAGTGGTAGTAGGGTGGTAGTTGGAGGGATGGTAAGAAGTGGCATGATCTACACGAGGTCAAGATATTGAGACCATCCTGGTCAACGTGGTGAAACCCCGTCTCTACTAAAAATATAAAAAATTAGCTGGGCATGGTGGTGCATGCCTGTAATCCCAGCTACTCAGGAGGCTGAGGCAGGAGAATTGCCTGAACCCAGGACGCGGAGAGCCGAGATTGCGCCATTGCACTCCAGCCTGGGTAACAAGAGTGAAACTCCGTCTCAAACAAAAAAAAAGAAGTGGCATGATCTAGGATGTCCTGATGGAATGGCTACGGAGCATGAAAGAAAGACACTCAAGGATAATTCCAAACTTTTGGTTCGAGCAAAAGGAAGGATGGAGTAACTGATTACTGTGATGGTCAATACTTAGAGAGAATTGGCTTTGGGGAAATACAAAGAGCTCAAATTTGGACCCAAAGTTTGAACCACCTATTATTATGTTGAAATATATAAAATGAGAAATATTTAACCATTCTGACCTATAAAAAATAAAAAGTTCATGTGTTTCAAATTAAAAGATATCCAGGAGAAAACGTTGACAGTGCAATTGAATGTTCATAGGGGATGTACAGGAGGGAGACACATATTTGAGGGTCACAAACATACAGATGGCATACAACATAAGAGAGTAAAAGTTGATAGAAAAAAAAAGGGTCGGCCGGGCGCGGTGGCTCAAGCCTGTAATCCCAGCACTTTGGGAGGCCAAGGTGGGTGGATCACGAGGTCAAGAGATCGAGACCATCCTGGTCAA